AAAGAGCTGAGTATCAAGTGGTCCTAAATTATTCTGTTGAAGTTTGAATTAGCCATAATTATTTCATATGAGGGAATAATAAGATGCTTAAGGTAAATATGAAAGCAACATTTTAAGTGTGTAATTAATAATTCATCAAATATTTATGGAGTCTGCTATGTGCCAGACATAGTACTAGGCTTAAGGAGACCACAGTGATCAAGACATAGTCTCTATCCATTCAGGCTTCATTCTTCCAGAGGAATCAGGAAAACACAGAGGTTGTAGATCCATGGGGTACATGGATGGAAATCTCCACTCAGGAGGAAATCAACGTTTGTTGAGACTATGAAAACTAAAGAGTTTCAGTTAAATCCTGGCTGCATACTACATAATCTCTCAATGCCTCATTTTTCTCAACTATGAAGTGGGTTCCTGCCTCACTGAATTGTAAGAAGGGTTAAATGAGCTAATCTATATAGCATTTGCAACATACTAAACTGTTGCTATTTTTTTTAAGATTTACTTATTTATACAAGAACTGGGGTACAGGCCAGATGCACGGGAGGGTGAGAATTCACCAGAGGCAGAGTGGGGAGCAGAACAAGCAGATGGATGGAAAACACTGCTAAAGGGAGCAGCGGGCAAGACCGAAGAGGTCTGCCTCGCCATGTAGGTATCTACCTGGCTGGCTGGGAATTGAACCCGTGCTGCAGAGGCTGTGGACAGCTTCATAGTGCTGCACTCAACCTGCTGTGCCACTAGGGAGGCTATGTTAACCAACATTTTTACTGTTAATTACTTGTCAGAGCTGAATCTGAGTTTAAATAAAGGCACAACTGTTTCCATAAAAGGAATGTATCATCTTAAACTTGCTCCCTTTCACCCAAAGGAGTCAATCAAGCAAGCAAGCACTCACCATTCAATGAGGCAGGTCCCAGTTGAACATTCGAGTACTATGACATTTTCTGTCTTTCTCTGGTTTTCTCCTATATCACACAGGAGAGTCTTAATTGTGGTTTGAGATGGAGTAAATTGTAGCAATTCCTGCTGAACCTTGGCCTGTCTGTTACTGGGTTTCCATTTTAGTGTATTAGTCTAAGGGGAGTCAAGAAAGAAATTCAGTACTCAAAGCTTGGTCTGAGCAGGTAGTACCGACAGAGTGTAAGTGCTCTCCATCAAGTCTATGGTTGACAGGAATCGCCACTCACATCTATGTCAGGGAAACGAAATTCATTCTAGGGATTTCATAGAGAGAAGTTAAGGTCGGAAATTAGAAATTGAAAAACTGAAAAATCGGAGAAAGGAGGCTGAGGGAATACAGATAAACTCAGGTTGGGGGAATAATGGGAAAGTTTTGAGTTGTCAGAATCCAGAAGCTCAAAACTGGGAACTCATGGTATTGGAACTAAGACCTCCGAGAAGGGTCGTTGTTGTGATGCAGCTCGTACCTTGCATAGCAAGACTGTTTTTGGGATGTGGGGAAAAAGCTGCAAATTTGAATTAACTGCCCCTGTCTGGATGAAGGACCATTGCTGAAGTAATTTGAGAAGAGCAAACATCTCCAGGTGCCCTTATGGCAGAGTCTAACAAGAGTCAACTGCCACGGAAGTAGTGTTACCGAACGCTGGCCTCAGTTTCCCTCAGCCAATAAAAGGAAACTGAGTTTGAGGAAAAGGAAAGCGGTTTTATTTGTCGACAAATGAGGAGGACGGCAGACTCATGTCCGAAAAACCACCGTCCTCCTCTTTGGCAGTGGGCAGGGGTATTTATACAGGGGGAGATGGGTAGGCATCCGCAAAGGGGAGGGGGAAGTGGTCCACACAGAGACAAGTGGGCGCCAGCTCAACAGGGAGATGGATGGGTGTCAGCTCATTCATCTTAAGGGAAGGGGAAGGTGTCAAGGCACAGAGAGGTGATCTCCAACTTGTTTTCCTTAGGGCGAGGGGGAAGGGTTTACAGGGAAACCGGTGGGCGCCAGCTTTTTTTCTTCCCAAGGGGAGGGGAAGCTGCAACAAATGGGAAAGACAAGTCATCAATCCTGTTAATGCTAGATAAGGGGAATTGCAAAAAATGGGGGAAAGACAAACTTGTTAACTGTATCAGTAATATTCCTTGGTGATGCTGCATATATTTGACATAATTTTTATTTCATTCACTGATATCCACTTCAAACTGCAGACATGCATTTCATGTCTTTAGAATGAGAAGTCTTTTCAGTAGAACTGAAATAATTACTCAAAATCCTGGTCATCATCCTTCTTCAGTTCTCACATTTAATTCGATATACATTGATTTCAAATCTACTGATCTGTTTATCCATAATCTGTAAGCAAATACGAATGAACAATAAGAGTTTAAATTGTCTCTGTTGGAAAAAAGGGAAGAAAAAATAATAGGAAAGAGACTAACCCCTTTCTTACAGCATTTACTTGAAAAATTTTTTTATTCTAAATTCTTTCTCTTTGAAAAGTATATAACTTTTTAAGAGTCAAATAATCTTTACAACATTATGGCCTAGCAATATCCTTCTCAAAGTCTTGGAAACCATCTTTGATTTTTTTATTTAGATTTTATTTATTTATACAAGCACTGGGTACAGTCAGAAACTTGGGAGGGTGAGAGAATTCACCAGTGCCAGAGTGGAGAGCAGAACAGGCAGACTGACGAAGTACACTGCTGAGGGGAGCAGTGGGCTCGCGGCAGGAGAGGTATGTGTGTCATGTGGGACCCTCGCCCGGGGGCCGGGGATCTAACCCGTGCTGCAGAGACTGCAGGCAGCTTCGCAACCCAGCGCTCACTGCGCCACCAAGGAGGCCCCATCTTTGAAATTTAAACAACAAGGGAGACAGAGGCCCAATCCCCCATTCTCTTGGGAGGGTAGCAGTCTAACTTGGCAGTGCTTCACTGCAAGTTGCAGAACTATCTCCTTTCATAAATATATGACAAGTTTATTTTTCCTTTGGGCAAGGCCAGTTAGCATACACAGATATTATGCTAGTTATCAGGTGAATCTAGGATGATAAAAAGATAAACATTTCTGTCAAGGCTTTTTACTTGAGAGCTAGTCTTTGCTTATCTTGAAAACATGTATGGAATGAGTTTTGTCTGCTTTATATAAAAGGGTGAAATTTTTTTTTCTGTTTTTGCCTAAAAGCAGATTGTCTGTGATGTGTTTCACTCTTTGGTTTAATGTTTATTTGATAATAAAAGTATTTCTTTTCTCCTTTAACTTTGTGGAGAGGTTTTCTGGGTTGGGAGGAGATTTTGTTTTAAGAAATCTGTCTGTTTGTTATCTATATCATCACCATCATTATCGTTGTCTTAATTAACTCTCTACTCTCTCTTTCCATTTCTGTTGTACCACCTATTTGCCATGTTTACCTGCCTTAAGAATTTCTTTTTTTGCTTCTCTTCTTGCTTCTTCTGCATAGTCAGTCATGTGACCTTTTAAAAATGCAGTTTAGTTTATATCATTTCTCTTCCTCAAATCCTGCAATGGCTCCTACTGTGGCTCAAATAAAATCCAAAGTCCTATGTGCCCTAAGGGGCTTGGCCTTCTTCCACCTCAGCCCCTGCCTGTCTCCTACTTGTACATCATGTTCCAATCATGCTGGCTTTTAACTTCAATACCCTAAAGCTCTTTCTCACCCAGAGATTTCTTACATGACATTCACTTGCCCTGAAATTCTCTTTGCTTCACTCTCTGTGGTCTATTATTCAGCAGATCTTAACCTAAATGTCCCCTCCAAAGCACTAAATGTTCTTTATCACCCAATTTGAGTAGGTAGGTCACATTATTTATAAATAGACCCTTTTTTATCATCAGAGGGCTTGTATCACCATTCATAACTGTACTTATTTGATCATGCTTGTTTGTAATACAAAGACAAGGACCATTCCACCTCCCTCTCCTTACACATGCATGCACACACACACACACACGCACGTGCATATACATGCACACATGGTGTTAACCCATTGCTACTCTGGAATATGAAACATGATATATCTTCACAGCTTTTTGTTTAGTAAATGGATCTCCACTGAACTTTGATTCAAAGGGAAGCATCTCTGTTTTTCCCCTTTCTCCTGTTTGTGGTCTCTTCTTTTGGTAGACTGGATTAATAATGCAGAGATGATTTTGGAACATTCAATTTGCTAGTGAACATAACAGTTTACTTTCTGGCATTTTTCTTGTTTATTTGGTTTGCACTCTATCTCTCTTGGTTAAATTATAGCTCCAAGGGGTAAGAGAAGAGGCCTGCAGCACTGCCAGTGCTCTGCGGCATGCTGTGGAGATAGGTGTTTCTGAAGAGTGAAAAGAGTTCTCCCCTCCATCTGTTCACCATGGAGATGCTTTGTAACTTGCTTCAGAAGTCAGCACTTTTATGAAGGGGGTAGAGGGAGGGATGGCAGGTGTGGCAGGGCTTTCACTTCAGTAAGATGAATGGTGCTGCTTATTTTTGCTGTGGTAATGTTTGAATAAAGTGTTGGGTCACAACAGGTCACAGAGGATGGGTTGGATCACTGATGCACATTTTAAATGTAGAAGTTCAAGAAAGTGCTTTTGATGAAACAGGATTAGCTCATGAAGCATGTAACCATCAAATTAATTGCTAGTAGATAAAAAGATTTCCAGACTCTTTTGGTAAATGTTTTCCACTTTATTCACTTTTTACTCCAGCATCCTCAGAACACTGGTTGTTAGTTTTATTTTTCAAATGTCCTAAATAGACTCATTGATGAGCTTAATAGCAGTAGTAATGACAATGGAAGATTTTTGCTGCACAGGTTTATTAATGAGGTCGAAAATGCCTTAAATAATATAATTGAATTAAGGTGGTGTCCACCTCCTCCCTTTCCTCTCAAGGGCTGGGTAGAAAGGATTCTGATAGCTATCACGTTTGCCTTCATGTACAGAAAACAGGCTGGTCCCCCCATTTGTGATTTGATATTTAGTTTTTAATTAAAAGAACAAAACTTTGGCTCTTACCCTAAGCAGATTTTGCTTGTTCCAGATGGCTGTGGAATGTCAGACCCTTGTTGGTCTGTGGCCTGGATTGCTGCCACCATATCTCAACAGAAGCTGCGAGGTTTTCTACCCTTTGTTCCGGAGCACCCAGACTCTAGATCAATACCACAAGGTGAGCCAAGTGTGCCTTTGCTGGAATTACTTTCTCACTTGCTTTTCAGACTCCTGAAAGTGCTGCTGCAGCAGTTGTGGTCATTGACCCACAGAGTGAAAAGTATCAGATGTTATCAGGGACTGCCTGTCTCCCTGCTCAGCTCCTCTTTACAGACAAAAGGGGAAACATGTCAGGTCCATCCATTGTTGAGAATAGAGAAGCAAGTGATTTCCTCAGTAAACTGAATCTCATCTCAAGTCTGAGTCCTTTGGCTTAAGCCCCAGCCTGCAAGTCAGTGGAGCCCAGATTTAAATAACCGACTCTCTTAATATGCAATTACTATCAATCTTTTATTTGATCTCTGTCTGACTGAAGACACCCTTCTGCTTATAAAACTCTGTTTTACGTGTTTTTAATCATTATTTTCAAGATTTCTAAAAATGTGCTGCATTAAAATTATCTAAGGACTCTGGGGATACTTTGTGGCCTCACTCCATATTCCAAGTTAAATTCAGAAAGTATGGGGCCTAAGAAACTTTTAACAAGCTGTTAAAAATATTATTATACCCATGAAGACCATTTGAAATTCACTGGAGTGCATAGTACAGAGTAAGTGCCCCCAAAGTGCAACCTTTAATATGTTAACTCATTAACATGACAATTCATAGGAAGTAAGATCTAAAGAAAAAGCCCATTATCCTTTTCAATACATCTACAGAGTATTTCTGCTAGAGAATGTGTGTTCTCTAAACAAGGTAGCAAACTCACTGTCCCTAAGTGAGCTATTTGATAATAAGGGTAAGGAACACGATAGTCATCACAACTTTGTTGATTTTTATAGATACTGAAGATATACATAAGCTCGTGGTTAATCTTATCCTAGTAATCATATAATGTAATGTGGGAGAGAAATTATTTGGTGGCAGAGTGTATTTTAAAAGCTTTATTATTGCTCTAATTTTCTTTTTATAGAGTCATAAAGGATTCCAGTCAAATTGTTCAACTATAATTTACTACTTTCAAAGGGGAACTTGTATGTTGTAAAAGCTATTCACACTTGGATTTGGGGACCATAACATGTCTTAGAGATATTTATCATGGGATGTATGGGGGGACTTTAGCAGCTTTTCTTTAGTAGCTTTCCATATTTGAATAAAATAGGAACACAAGAACCATTTCTCTCCTGAGGTGGATTATAAACAATGTGATACTTATACTGGTGAAGCAGAACTGTGACATCATGGGAGGTAATCTTCCCGTAGTTTTATGACATATTACCTTTTGTCATATCTGAGAGTGATTTCCATCATTTGCCATTTGCCATCATTGCTGAGATCTTCAAACTTGTTATTCTTGGGGATAGGTTTCTTACCTGACTAGTGTTTACTGAGCTATTATCAGCATCCCATTCTTAGAGAAACTTGTCATTCTGTGAATCATCTCTTATTGGATCCTAGAAGATAAATCCAGAAGAATCATAAGCAGTTTGTGAGTCTGTCAATGTAGTTGGGCTCTGGGACTTCTTACTTTGGAATCTTTTCTTCTAGTAGCGTCAGAGGCTCTGTGCCCAGTGCTTTGTACAATGTAGAAAACACGCTGTCCAATCATCTCTCTCTGCCCCCTGGATAGAACAACTCCCTTCTTTCCTAGTCATTTTTACCATATTCTTGTACATTGTTAGAATTACACAGGACAGACTTCATATCGTTGTATACACATTATGATAGCAGATGTTAGTTATGGCTGCATGTCATATAGGTTGATGAAAAATTACATGGTACAAGAACATGATAAAGGCAGAACTTATTTTATTGGGTGGGGGGGGCATTCAAGACTGTACTTTATGCTTTGTCATTGAACAAACTAGTGTGTACTTGTAAATGAGCAGGTTTTTTCCAGAAGAAAAAAAGGGGGAAAAAGTAGAAAAGAAATAACAGAAATTTTAGTCACTTTCTGTTTTTCCCTTAAAAGAACTAATAGAAGAGATACTTATCTTACATATAAGGACGATTTAGCACTTCTTTGTGAAAATAACAAATTGTTAAACTTTTCTTTCACGAATTAGTTTTTTTCCCCTGTGACTGCTTTAGTCTGCTTGAGGATAGATAAGTAGTGGATGAAAAGCAGTAAGCATACATCCTGGGAGAAGGGAAAAGTTTATGGAAGAACCATGGATTTTGTATTTAAAGAGGGAAAAACAATGAGAACGGGTATATTTTGCTTTAATTCAAAGTGCCTGTGTTACATTGTAGAAACTTCCTTTATATAGATTTCCAGTTTCTTCATTACTTTAAATCCTACCATTAGGAGTCAAAATGACCATACTTTTTTTTTTATATAGTGGAAAAGTTTTGGGAACTTTAAGGTCTGGGCACTTACTTGTGTCAAAGAAATGGCTATAGTAAAAAAAAAAAAAATTTTTTTTGCTTATGTTACCTGGTCAGATAATTAAAAATCATGCCACTTACTCAAATTTCAGTTGAATTCAGTATACCTGACCTTTGTCTTTTCTTGTTCTATACAAGCTACCTGGTATCATCTACTTACACAATTTCAACTATCAACAGCAAATTAATGGGTCCAAAGACTTACGTGACTATTCACATGTAAGTTTTAAAATTGTTTAGTAGAGGCTAGCAGGTAATGCTCTGTTTTGCAAGAACCATTGGCATGTGGTGATTTAAGGAAGAAATATGTTTGGGCTATGATGTTATTACCTAACAAAAGGTCTCCTGAATTTTTGCTTCTTTAGCTATTCAAAGGTTGTTATTCTTAATACTAATAAAAAGTTGTTAATGTTAGTTTTATATTTAATCAAGAACAAACATTAAATGCTATGTAAAATATACTTAAGTAGATTTCAGGAACCATGAGGAATTTTGATGAAGAAACCAAGATATTTTCTTTCGTTAGGATGATTAAAATTATATCTTTGCTTTTGAGGAATACAAGTTTGATACACATTATTTTTCTTCCTCACCCCCCCCTTTTTTTCTTTTACAAAATTACTCATCCTAAATGAATGGATTCATTTGAAGTACTTTTGCCCATGTCACATGGGTCCATTTGATTAGTATAAGATGGTACTATTTATCTCTCTCTCTTTCTCCCTCTGTCAATTAGTATTGACAAGGACCTTGCTAATTAGTGATAAGGTATTGGTAATTGGTGGAAATCTCTAATTAATGGCTGCCCAATGGGCTATTCCCCTTGAGAAATTATTTCATCTCATAACTGATTATACATATGCCATTCATAAACTACCCTTAATCAAGAGTTACTTGTGGCTTTATTTTAAGTGACTTTGAATTATCTCTTGACTCCTACTCGTCACTACCTCTTTCTATCTTATTTTTCAAATTCCTTAATATTTTGATGTCACACTGAATATTTGCAACAAATATTTTTAAATAGATTTTTTTTATTGAGGTAACATTGGTTTACATTGTTGTTTGTAACTATGAATCAGAGACACTCTTTGGGGGATGGGGGTGGGGAGGGGAGGAATTGGGGTCAAAATAAGGGGATCGCAATTGTATGGGGATTATAAAAATAAAATTTATAGTAAAAAAATTGTTGTTTGTGTTTAGGAGGTGTAGGGTTCACCCCCTTTAAGTATTATTACTACACCACACCCACCACCAGAGCATCCACAGTCCATCACCTTAGATGAATGAGTGATATTAATAAATAGTCCAGACTTTGAAATTTCCAAATAAAGATAAGAGAAAGATCTCTACAGTGGGGCATTTCAAGATCTCTTAATAATGAATCCACTCATCTGAACCCAAACTAAAATCATCTCTTTATGGGAAATAGCATCTTTTTGGATTATGTGCATGTGTCTTTATTTACTTTGTTGTGTTCATCAAGATTGGCAGAATAGTTTTATTGCTAATTGATTGCCAAGTTGCTGTCAATCTCTTAACTTGGAAAACACTAAACAAACGCAGTTGAAATAGATTAATGTGCTTTCTGAAACAAATGCTCAGAAAATCTAAAATGATGTTTGCTTTTAAGACCAATGCCTCACCAGGGATATTTGTATTATCGTGAACCAATTTAATTGCTGAGATTTTTACTACTCTAAAGAGTTTCACTCAATCTTATCTGTATAAAACATATCACTGCTATTGAGAGGAAGTTACAAATATTTGCTGGAAAATATTTCTATAGGCAGAATCAAAGAAGGTTGCTGAGAGGAGCTGGAGTAGGGTATACTGAATTAGGATAACTATTTGGAATATTTTCTTTAGATATGGGAGGGAGACTAAGGCACAGCTCTAACTTCAGGGATAATTCAAAAGAAAAGTTCACCTTTAAGCTCTTTGTCTCCCCTCTTTTACAGTATGGGTTTTCATTTTGATATTTGGCTCTCCCCATACTCCACACATTTCTTACTCATCCCAGGTCTGCTCTTTTGGGAAAAACTCAAATTAGCTCTTTATCGTTTTACTCCCCCGTGATCTCCCCTTTTGACCTTTCTTTTCTCTGCTTTTGGTCTTCTTCAACACCTTAATAAAACTTTCAGCAAGATATATATAGAAAATAATACAAACTTAGAATTCACAACCCTAAATTAAAAACTTGAACTTTTTTTTCTTTGCATCTTCCCTTATAAATTTTGTCATGAGCTTCCTTATAAAGATGCCAAATTGATCTATCCTACTAAAAATATTCTATTTTATTTTGGAAAATATTCTATAAAAGCTTTCCCAAATACTTTCAGATACCCACTTCTTCATTAGTGATTTACATATATATATTTTTTATTCTAACCCAAATAATTGTATTTTATTTGTATTTTTCCGTAACACTTTATCAACTTTTTTTTTGTTTGTTTGTTTTAAAGATTTATTTATTTATTTATACAAGCACTGAGTACAGTCAGAAGCGCGGGAGGGTGAGAGAACTCACCAGAGCCAGAGTAGGGAACAGAACAGGCAACCGAAGAAATACACTGCTGAGGGGAGCAGCGGGTGCAGCAGGAGAGGTCTGCACGCCATGTGGGACCCTCA